CTCCAACAACTGAAGATTCTAATGATTATAGTATTTGATGATGTGTAATAAACTTCATCGGTAATTCATAGTTTAATTTTAATTTAGGTTGAATACGTTCAATTGTACTTATTCCATTGTCATAATTATCTTCTTCTGTTTTGACTATTATAAATCCTAGTTTTTTGTCAACAGTTGTTCTTTTTTTTTGTTTAACTTTATGTCATTCAATCGAGCAAGCATAACAATTATCAATAAATAACCTTGTCATCTATATTTTTCGTTATGATACCATTTGATGAAAAATTAAACACAAAAGAAAATATGCATAGTTGTATTTTGTCAAGCTTTTTTTTCATTTCATTGAAATCGTTGAACCAATACGAGCAATGAAAAAAAAAATTAAATTAGTTTATTTTCGAACATGTATGCAATGTTTACACATTATACAAGTTTTCTTAGGTGTACAAATGTAACAATATCTGACTTCAAATAAGTATCAAGATATTTTACTATTGAATATATTTTTTTGTAAGACAATATTTTAATGTTTAATAATTTTAAATTTAATATTGATCAAATATTTTCCTACATCAACAAATGTCAGTGCAGCGAAAACATAAAGCCATTCTAAAGCACCCCGTCGCGAAAGAGATTTAACGTATAAATTATTTTCTTCCTCTTTTTTTTACATTGGAAAAAAAACCAACGTAAATAATCGCTATGAATATACATAATCAAAATTTTGAGTCGATGGAAGAGAATATCAAATTGAAAATTCGTTTATTTTTATTTTTGAATGTATAAGGAGAATATCCATTCATGAGTCTGATGCTATGTCGTTGTTCGAGTAAAACTTCATCTATTTAAAAAAAGGCACATTTATGAAATCATATTTTTGTGTGCAAACCATAGAGCTGACTACTTATTCGTTTTGATCTATTTCTTAATTTTGAATAAAGTTTTTTACATGTTTGTAAATCTTAACCGTAAAGTACAATTAATTCACAGGATATCATTACAATGTAATACAATTTACATGTATATATTTCATGTATAATTTCTTTGGTATTGGTATCGTAATTAAATAATGTATTTATATATCTTCGATGTGTAGTATAATTCAATAGATTTTGCTTCGTTGATTTTTTTGTTTATTTTGCTTATGTACGGTTTCTATGATACAATTGGTCAATTATATTGTCCGTTAAGTAAATAAGATGGTGGAAAAAAGGTTAACAAGAACGTATTTTTGACGTTTATTTTTCTATAATGTTAAGCGTCTAGCTCATATTCAGGTAGTGATTTTAATAGCCAATGAAGGTTTCTATGACCTTCCATTAAAAAATTCAAAGTATTACAAAAACTGTAAAAAAAACGATATCTATCAAAAAATCGCCTTGCTTTTGGTTTTTGGATATACTTTTAACTGTTTAAGGGAAGGTTGTAGAAAACCCAGCGACCTCTCACTTTGCTCTCTTTAAAATAGCATTGTTAAAAAAATAACTTCTGAAACCTGAAAACTATTGTGTCTGGTTTTTTTTAGAAACCTCACTATCATATTGCATCTAGTATAGCATGTATTAGATCGAAAACTCCATTGAATATTAAAATCATTATCTGGATTTGACTTAGGCGCTTAACATTATAGAAAACAAAGATTCAAAAATACGTTCTTGTTAAATTTTTTTCCACCATCGTACTTTAACAGTAGTTATTCGATCAGTTATTTTTTCTGAATATTTTATAAGTGCAACTCGATTGTAATAGTGATAAAAGTACTATTGATGCCATTTTCGTTGTTGGTAATACTGTATAATGAGTACACGTCTACCAGGTACTCAAAGATAAATTAAAATATTTTTCTTATTGTTGATCAAATCAGCTTTGTGTCTGTTCTTTTCTCATAACAACAAGTAAATCTGGTTATTGATCCTTATCTTTTCATTTTGTACTAAAAGGCTGTTTTCGTCCGTTAATATTTTTTTTTGTATTCTAAAACTTTTCGTGCTTGTTAGAATAACAAACGTATTATAAATAGAAATTCTTATTCAAGATAAATATATTTAAAATATTCTACCGAACAAAAGGTTTAGAATAATCGAAGAATAAAAGTTCGATATGATATACAATTTCATGCATGTTATAACAATTTGCTATTTTATTTATTTGCTTTTTATTTTATTGTTGAGACGAATAAATGTCATAAAAAAATTTATGAAAAAAAAGGAAAAGTGATAATTTATTTCTTCATTCTCTACAAGAAATTGCTTGTCTATTCACAAAATGTAAAAGGCAAATAGTTGATTTGTTAATCTTGTCAGTTAAGAGCAACCTACCGATTTGCTTTAAGTCGGTATATTTAAATGTATTTTTTTTGTTGTTCTCATTTTTCCACCTCGTCTCTATTGCACGTCCAATAAATCGAGCAATGATAAAGGAATGTAATAGGTCTCGTTTTTTTTTTCTTTTTCGTTGGAAATGCAAATGAAAGAAGACGAAAATGTTGATCAGGTGTATACACATATACATTATAACGTTTCGATAATGTCGACATGCGTGTCCTAGGAAAAAAAAGGAGAAAAAAAAGAGAATCGAACGAAAAAAAAAGAACCCTTATTCGATAGTGGAGGCTTCGAGCGTTATGCCACATACACGTATAACACGTACTTACGAATGCAGCATCATCGTTTTTCAATACAATACAGCATAGAAAGAAAAACATACGATTAACATCTTCATTTTTATTAGGTATAACAATATGCACTGAGAATTTTATGAAATCTCTTGTTGAAAATTTCATTTTAAAAAAGTAATATGTAATATACACATTTTTTTCTCTTGATTAGACGACATCTGATATTCATTCCCATTGTTCAAATCATATCTTCATATATTTTTATCAATGGTAATGTGAAACAACAATATAATCATGAATTGTTCATCACATCAGTTTATGCCTATACCAACGGATGAGAATTTATCATCAACAGTACCAATACTTCGTCGAGGATCAAGTCGAGTTTCAATACGTTCGAATGGTTCTGATGAAGAAAATGATCTTGGTTCACCATTAAATCATCCTATGTCACTAAAACGTTTACATAATCCATTTCAAGCTCGTGTTTATAATTTTCTTGAACGACCATCTGGTGTATCCTGTTTTTTATATCATTTTTCCGTTTTTGTAATTGTTATTGGTTGTCTTGTTTACAGTTCAATATTAACTGTTTATGTTGAACAATCATATTCAATATTATTTTGGATAGAATTTGTACTTTTCATTTTATTTCTTATTGAATATATTGTACGTGTATGGTCATCCGGTTGTCGAAGTAAATATCGTGGTCGTCATGGTCGTTTATTATTTATGCGTAAAGTTATGTGTATTGTTGATTTATGTGTTATTATTGGTTATACTATATTATTATGTATGGGAATAAGTCATACACAATTTAATATTCAACTTGTACGATATGTAAGAATTCTTCAAATACTTCGATTTCTTCATGTTGATCGACGTCTTACATCATGGCGTTTACTTGGTTCAGTTGTTTATGATCATCGTTATGAATTAATAGCTACACTTTATTTTTGTTTTATTTTCTTAATTGTTGTTGCTTATTTAATATGGCTTGTAGAAAAAGATGAAAGTAAACCAGCTAGTGAAGATATGTTTCATAGTTTTGCTGATACACTCTGGTGGGCAATTGTAACAATGGTAAGTTTAGGAAAAAGAAATGAAAACAAAAAATCATCTTGTGTTTATTTTTTTCTAGGCAACAATTGGTTATGGTGATAAATGTCCAAGTACATATATTGGTAAAATGATTACATCATGTTTATGTATTTGTGGTGTTGCTTTTTGGACATTGCCATCGGGTATTATTGGTTCAGGTTTTGCTTTAAAAGTTGAACAAAAAAAACGTGAAAAACAATTTAATCGTTTGGTTCCTGCTGCTGCTAGTCTTATACAAAATTGGTGGCGTATGATTGCTGCTCGTCATCCACATCTAGTAGCTACATGGCGTATCTATCGAATGGAAGCAAAACGATCTAATAAACTCAATCGACATACTGGTTCAACATTTATCGTAAATACAATTTATAATACTAATGATATATTACGTATGCGTAATGGTCCATCACCATATAATATATCATCAAGTGGAATTCCATTAGAGAAAGTTTGCTGGCGTAAAGTTGAAAAAGTTGAAGATCTTGATTCAAATCAACGTATTGCTATACGAATGATACGTGTTATTAAATATCATGTAGCAAAGAGAAAATTTCGTCAAGCACATAAACCATATAATTTTAAAGATATTATGGATGAAAATGCTCAAGGAAATTTAAAAGTTATGTATACACTTGCTGATATACAACGACGTTTAGATCAAACATTAGGTTTACCAAAATCCTATCCAATTGTTTTATCGGATAAAGAACGTGAACAATTAACATTAAATGCAAAAGTACAACGATTAGAAACAAAACTAACTGGACTTGAAAGACAAACAAATCGAGTTATTTCATTACTTGAAGAATTATGTCAACGTTCATATAATGAAGGAAAAGATGTAGCCATGAATCGTATACCCACTGTAGCTGAAGAAATAATATCAGGAACGTGATTTAATCACATTATGTATTTTATGTCATATTTCTTTCCTTTTATCTTTGTTTTCTTTTTTTTTGTATTTAGAATTTTTTCTTTGCGCTGATTTTTATTATAATGATGAAGAAAAATTGAATGAAATAAATAACTTTAATCAATCGAAAAGATAATATAGATCATTAACGACAACTACAGATTACTTCAGTTCACTGGATCATTCAAAGAAAGTGTTAACCAATGAATTTTTTCTAATCTAGTTCCATTCCGTTCGTTCATCAATGACAAAATTTTTATTCTTTCATAATTGATATCTTCAAACTTTTTTCTTTTTTTATTGATTGTATTTTTTTCTCTAGATTATCAATTTTGTATCTTTTTTTTTGATATATTTAAAAAACTCAGGATGGATTTAACCATGGATTTATCAATTCGTAAATCACAACAACAACAACAACAACAATCTCCAGTTGCACCATCACGACCAATTCTTAATCCAGCAGCACCTTCTAGTATGTTACAAGGTTCAGCTGGTCGGAATTCTCCTCATTTACCTCCACCAACAGCATCTCCATCTCTTCCGCATACACCTGTACTTCAACAACAACAACAACAAATAAAACAGCAATCTCAACCATATGTACCAATTCCACCAGCTGTTCAACAACAATTAAATCAAGTTCAACAACATCAACAACGTGTTATGCAACAAACAAAATATGTTCAATTACTTAATGTTATTGAAGAAATGGGTAAAGATATTAAACCAACATATGCAGGAAATAAAAATTCAGCTGAACGTTTAAGACGTGCTATTGCATCAGCTCGTGTTCTTGTCCGAGAATGTCAACTTGAATGTGATCGAAATAGTCGACCTTGAAAATATCTAAATCTACTAACAACAATCTATGTATATATTAAAAAAAAAAGAAAAACCAATATGTCTGTCAATTTTCTTTTTCTTTTTTTTTTGTTTATTAAATGTATCATTTCTTCAGTTATAAATATTTTATTCGAATTGCATTGTATACTTTTGCTAATCGTAAAACTTTTCGTAAATGCACACCATCGAGACTTTTGAAAAAGTGTTCACTATTGAGAGATATTCTTCTATGAGAGATGTCGTATGTTTTAGTGCAATACAAAACTGTGCTTTGTTTCACAAAGTCCTGTATTATTGTTTTGCTCTTGTTGATATATGGGAATTTGATAAACATTGCTGGACAATTTATTCAAATATATGAATCATTTCAGGCAAAACGGAGCATATCCACCTTTCATTTGACTTTGGTTCTTTGCAAGAGTTATTTTTCTAAGTAAGTGCGATTACCATCGACATATGTAAAAATGTTGGCTCTTTCAGCTGACTATTAATTAAAAAGCCATTGGCGAACAATCCTCTAACCATATGAAGAAAAAAACTCTGCATCAAGTCGGAGTTTTTTCATCTGAAATACGTGAAATTAAAATCGATGTCTTTTTTGTGTCACATAGCTAACGCTAGTTTTTTTTAATACTAATAACTCCTCTGAACAAAGGTTTCTAGCGCTGATCTTTTCAAAGTATCTCGAATAACTTAATACACATATAACATATAAAAATTAGCTCTATTATTCCATTTCTGTACGATTAAATAAAAGGATAGTAAAGAAATATGCTTCAAAATAGGTAGAGTAAAATAATCTCCCTGTTATTTGCAAGAGTAACTGCATCGTGTTTCACATTTTAATCCCATAGGGATTGCGCTAACAATTTTATTCTTTGGATTACTTCCAATATTTTGTGATGTAATAACAACAATACGAGAATCGTACAAAAAAGGAAGCATATATATCAAACAAGAAATTTTCTTTTCTTAATTATTATCAAAAGAAAAAAACACATTCACAATTATTCTTGTTTAATATAAGCAAAAGTCAAATAGCCTGTATGACCAGGCATTACTAATGGACCTATAGCCGTTAATGTTGATTCTGTTTCTTGTGGTTGTCGTTTAGTTGTTGCTTCTGAATCATTTTTAAGTTTTTTATTTGTCGTTGTCTCTTCTTCTTCATCCCCATCATCATCATCTGGTTCTCTTTTATTTGATTTTCTATCGATTATTTCTTCTTGATTTTGATCAGCAGTAAAACGAATTTTACTTCGATGTTGATAACGAAATTCATGTATACGACGTAAACATTCAACTGTATTTATTTCTTCAAAATTATTCATATGTAATCGTTGACAAGTACGTTGAACTTGTTCAATACATGGTGAAAATGTACATAAACGACCACCTAAAGAAATTCAATAGAAAATAAAGAAAACAAAAAAATAGATTTTTTTTTTCTTAAACCAGTTTTTTTTAGAACTTTCATCACATGTTCTATAGCATTCCATGGTGCTGGTAGATCAAGAAAGACTGCATCAGCTATATTTTCATGTTCAAAACCATTCGAAAGTACATCACGATGTTGAACTGTAACAAATTGTGAAAGACCATGCTCCTAAATAAACAAAAACAGAAACAAAAAATAATTGAAGTCAATAGAAAATAGAATTCGGCTTACCCGAATATGTTTACCTCAAATTCATTTCGTGCTAAATTTGAACGAAGTTCATGAAATTCAAATGTATATAAATGACCATTGGGACGTAAAGACCGTATAATTGAATGAGATAGAGATCCACTACCAGTTCCTAATTATCAATAAAATTCTTTTTTTTTTTTTGCAAAATTTTTTTTCAATAAAATCTAACCTGCTTCAATAACAATTGAACCTGGTTTAATATCTAATTCAAGTAGAATTAAACTAATATCAGCCATATAAAGAATTTGTGTACGATGTGGTAATGCCAATGTCCATAATTCTATATTAATAATATATGAAATATTCTATTGATTTTAATTAATTTTATTTACCTGGTATAACTGATAATGCATGAACATAACCTTTTGTACATATGATTTTACTTCCAAATTCTTTTCCAATTAAATCATTATGTTTTAAAGCACCAAATTTTGTTTGATAGACTTCATTTGCTTTTGCTTTAATAACATGTAAATTATTATATCCTAAATAAAGTATAACTTTTGAACCTTCTTGAATTAAATTTGTCATAGTCCTTTGTTTGTTTTTAAAATTAAATCTAAAAATCATTTATTATCACTAAATCTTGTTCTTCTATTTTTTCCTTAGAGAAATAAAATAAAAACGAAACAAACAACTGCTTATATTTAAAAGTTCTATTGAACTTCTTTTAAAGATAATAATTTCTCTTCAAGTTCATCAGGTTTAAATACACCATGTTCTGTTATTATACCAGTTATCAAATGAGCAGGTGTTATATCAAAGGCTGGATTCCACACTTGAACACCTGAGATACAAAAAAAAAAACCAGGAGATCAAAATTTATTTGTCAAGATTTTACCTTCTGCAGCAATATTTATCCCTTTGATACTTGTCATTTCTCTTGATGGACGTTGCTCAATAACAATTTCATTTCCTGTTTGTTTCGTTAAATCAATTGATGTTGTTGGTGCAGCAACATAAAATGGAATATGATGATGTTTAGCAAGTATAGCTAATTGATAAGTACCAATTTTATTAGCTGTATCGCCATTTGCTGTTATTCGATCAGCACCAACAATAACAGCATGAATTGGTTCTTTTTGCATTAAAAAACCAGCCATGGAATCACAGATCAGTGTATGTGGAATACGATCATGTAATAATTCATAAGCAGTTAATCTTGAACCTTGATTATATGGTCGAGTTTCTGTAAAATATACTAATTGAAGAGCATCATTTACTGCTAATTGTCGAATAACACCAAGAGCTGTACCAAAACCAACAGTTGCTAATGAACCAGTATTACAATGAGTTAAAACATTTAATTTTTTATGATTAGTATTATTTTGACATATAGCTTCAGCACCATAACGACCAATTGATCGATTATCAGCAAGATCACGTTCAAGAAATTGTTCCATAAAAACAAGTAATTCATCAATATATGAGGATACATTTCCGTGCTTATTACTCAATGGAATCAAATAATCAATTATCGTTTTAGCAGCATCTGTTAAATTAACTGCAGTTGGTCGAGCAGTTAATAAATAATTAAGTTCAGCAGTAACAAATTGTTGAACTGATGAAACTGAATCAAATTTTGATCGAGAATTATTTAATTCAATAGCAAGACTCAATACACCGCATACAGCTATTGCAGGAGCACCTTAAAAGAAATATGATCTTATTTATTATTTGTGACTTTTTATCAGAAATCAAAAAAAAAAGAAATAAATCTTAAACATGAAAATGAAATTTCTTATTAACTAATCTAATTCAAAATACTTCGTATTTTCCTATTAAACTTTTATGTGTATTATAAGCCTCTTAGTACTCTCATTCTATTAACAGATATATATATATATTTACGTAAATTAACTATAATTGTCTTGATATTCGTTATACCATCAAACAACGTGATAAAGATAGAATATGTATCAAAAATTAAGTTTCCATGCGTCCCAATTTTCTTTGCCATTTTAAATGCTAGAAAGTTCAGATTGGTTTTAAAATGTAGCCAAGATGTGGTGCTATAAAACTTAACAGAGTCCGATTTTTCGATTCTCTCCTAACTTGTGTTCCTAGAAAACTTCTCAGATGATTTGGCTATATTAAGTTGTAGAACTAATTTTTGCCTTCATTTTGACATTAGGCCAAGCTTTCTAGCGTTTAAAATTATGGAGAAATCTGGGACGCAAGGAAACGTAAAAATCAAAATTTTTCAGAAAAAAACGTTATCTTTCTGTGTATGAGGGTTGAGAAAAACACATATAATATCCTTGGATCTCATCATAAAATCAATAAACTATAGTACATTCGAGAGGAGACACTTTGCTCTATCTAACAAACTATAAATCACAAAATCGATAAATTTTGACCAAAATTGGCTTCCTCTCAGGGAGCTCCTTTAACAAGAATTAATCTCAGAAATAAGTTACAAAACTCTCACAATTAAATCTCCTTAATCAGTAACGAAATCATTTGTTTTTTTATAGATAATGAACACGGTCTCAACATCTATAATTCAATAGGTCATCATGACATACATTAGTCATTTACATAAGTCTACTATAAAATAAAGTTTCAGTATATTAACTAATCTATTGCCAGTAGATCGGCATTTATCATTTACATATCTGCCCTATATTTTATATTAAAAATATGATTTGTAAATATTTTTAGATAAAGTGTATTGTTATTTAGTTTATACCTCGAATTGACATTGTATGGATAGCTTTCCATGCATCATCAACGGAATTAATAGGAATATAACTTGATTCATCAGGTAATTTTAGCTGATCCAAAATTGATAATGAACCACGCTGATAACAAATAGCTTTTAATGTTTGATCGTCTTGCATAACTAAAATTTAAAAATATATTTTAAATAACTTCTCAAATTATTTGATCTTTCTTTATTATGCGGTTCATGTCATCTATGTGAATAAATAAAAACATTAAGATGAAACACCAAAAAATATTATAATAATAATACAATAAAATATTTATGAAAGACACAAAAATTCAAAACACAATGAGAACAGATCACGAGTGCATGATTTTTGAAAGGTCACCAAGTTCATAAGAGATTCTTTAAAAGTTTGATTTTTAAGATTGTTGTTATTCTTATGGAGAAAGAATATCATCATCACGCATATCTGGTCCCGATTCATCAAGAAAATATCCAGCACGTGGCGATGATCTTTCACAACGGCAACAAAAATCACATCCATCAGCAGCTGAATTGCCCAATTTACGCCACATTTCAAAATTTGGTATATGTTCAAGACCACGAGCACCATGTTTTATATGCATAAATACAGCTCCGATAACTAAATAAGCAATTGCTATACTGAAAAAACTAAACAAAAGAATATAATTCATAAAAAAAAACAGTAAAAAAACTAAATTTAGTCATTTACATAATAAGAAAGATGGCACCACCACTTAATTTCTTATTTTTTTCTACAGCTGGACACATTTCGGAAACTTGTAATTCAAACATATAATCACAATGTTGATCAGTATCTGTATGCGCTTGAAGAACCGTAGGATCAGTCTAGAGAAACAAATAATCCAAGTTAAATATAGATCATTTTTTAGGCATATATTTCAAAATTTAGAAAGATTCAAATTTCATAGAAGTTTTATCACTAAATCAAACACTCATTTATTCTCGAAATAAACACTCTTAGGATCAACATATTGTGCACTTTTCGAATACGGATTTACAAAGGAATGCTTGTAAATGTCAAATCGCTTTTGAATCGGAACTATATGGATCATGTAGGTTGTAGTGAGCTATGAATACCTTGAAAAGAGTTTGTTTGTTGCTACCGAGATACTCTAGTTTTTAGTAGAATGTCGTGATTCCCCTCAGAAACACCAAGAAAACTTAGTTTTGAATTTTGACTTGAAACTTTGCATAGAGATAGACTTTAACGAGAATAGCTTATTGTGAAAGTTCCAGATTTTTTGATAGTGTCGATTCTCTGAAATACGAACATCAGAATTTACCTTTGTATATGATCGGTATGAAAAACATGCGCCTATCATAGCCGTATCTTAGGATCGAAGCGATCAAAAGATTTGAAACTTTTACAATAAACTATTCTCATTAAGACGTGTCTCTATGAAAAATTTCATGTCGAAATTAGAAAATCAGTTTTTCTAGTATTCCTGAGAAGGACACTACGGCATTATATTAGAAAATTCAGTATCTTGATAGTAATACGCTATTAGCCCGAAGCGTTTTCCGCGTATTTATAGCTGATTAGAATCTACATGATGCACATATTCCCAACTCAAACGCAATGTGCCGTTTAGAAACGTTTCCTCATAAGAAATTTTATCTCAGTTTTTTGTTCGAGAGTAGTAAGATAATCTTTGAAAGATCAAAAAAAACGAGTTTGGATGGAAAATATGAGCCGAAATTTCTCGTGCAAATGGTTGCTTATTTTTGTCTGCTTGAAAGTATCTCAGACGAATCGGAAACTATAGATGATGATTAGAATTTCGTGTCTATTTTTGTTTGAAACTAGTGAAGAAATTTTTTTTACAAGCGCAAAAAATTATATTGAATGGCGAACCAATACGCTTTTTCTAGTCATTATCAGCACCTTTTCCAAGGTACCAAAAAAAATATTTGAGTCGATTGTGTTTTGTCAAGCGAATACTTCTTAAGAAAATCTTGTATTGAACTAAGCTTTGACTTTTACCTAAGCGAAACTATAAGTACTTTGCTAGGACCTTCTTTCTATATGAAATGCCTTTTGGTTAAAAAATCGATTTAAGAGAAACGAAAATTGAAGTCACCTATAGGAAAACACTCCAACAGTACATCTTACAGGATAGCTTCTGCTCTACAAACAATTTCGGCTCATCTGTTATCTATTACAGACGTTATTTTTTGTCTTTCTCTAAATTCAACTATAAAAAAATGTAATTTAGATTTTTGCAAAGGGATTTTCTTTCATTTATTCGTTGTTGTTGTTGTTTTTTTTTCTCACCCTATTTTGTCCACAAACAAACATAATCGAAGCAGAACGTGTTGAATTATTACAAATATTTTTATATGGATCACCATTTCTATAAGTTAAAAGTATCCAATTATCTAAAATAGAATAATATTGTTTGTTTTAAGTTTATTTAATAATCGAGAAGAATATAGATGAACCTCCTCGAACAAAATTGACTTGATCTAATTTTCCGAGAACATACGAAGAATTATTTTCTTTCTGAATAATAGCCGTGTTATTCGCTAAATTATTAGGCGATGAACATATTCCAATAAAATATGTTAATCCTTTGTTTGACACTGTAAAACTAAATAAAGAGAAAATTAAATCATAAATAATGAAATATAAGAATATTATTTACTTTTTTCCAAAGATTTTCCATTTTCGCATTTTCTCATAGATCTCTTCATTATGTTCATCTTTATTAAATTTACATTCCCCATAGACTAATGAACAATAAATGATTAAGAAAAATATTCTACGTATGACAATCATCTAAAAAAAATATGCTTTATTAGCCATAGTGATTTATCATCTCATTTATCATATTTTCACAAGTATTCTATGCTTGATCGAGCAAATAGCAAAGAAACAACATTCTTAGTTAACATTAATTTTTGTCGTTCTATATTTCTTTCTTTCTTTCTTTTTTTTTCTTTATGATTTTATAATTTTGATTGCTTTTTTTTTTTGCTTGAGTCAATCGTATACAAAGAGACACGGGAAAGAAAAAAAGGTAAAGAGGTGTGCCACTTATGGTAATTTCAAAAGTAACGATACTAACTACCGTCATCAACCTGATGTATACAAGGTTAGTTCAAATTATTCATTTCGTTTCTTTATAAAAATAGTATGGACGTATGATGAAGTATATTTTCTTTTATTCACTAATATATATATATGTATGTTTTTTACATATTAAATTTATCTTATTAATATTTATCATAATAAGACATGTGTCTTTTCTCTTTCTTATTTTTTTCTCTTTCGTCAATCCTATTTGAAGGAATAGTTGTATACGAAAAATATTCACAAAAAAAAGGGAAAGAATAGGATGAGACAAAGAAGAACAATAAAAGTATACAGAATCATTTTCTATTTGCATCAAGTAAGTTGTCTGGTTTCGAATGTCTTTAACAAAGACAAAGAAAAATCGATGTTTATCAGTGTCTTTTTTTTCGTGTACTCAAGGTCAGAATAAAAAAAAAAAAAAGAAAAAAAGAAACATATCTTTTGATTTTAATGATGAAAAAAAAAACAATCTTCAATATTGGAAAATTATTTCTTTTAGTTAAATAATGTCGAATTCAACTTCATGTTTGAATTCTCCACAATTATCAGTCAAAACTCAATTAAGTGAAAAAATTCGACAACAAGTTGATGATAGACATTGGCAATTATTTGAAACACGTTTAAAAAACTCATTAACAAAAAATCATAATGAAAATTATACAAAAACAAATGATTATGGTTTAGTAAATTGTTGGACAAAAATTGATCAATTACAATTACCTATTGAACCTAATCAACGATGGCAAACATTTTGTTCACAATTAACAACTAAATCGAATGAAACTAATCGTATTATGTCTATATTTCATAATGTTTGGATTAATGATTGGAATAGAACACAAAAATCTCATTTAAATACAAATGAAAATACATTTCTAAAACATTCAACATTAAATGAACATGATAAAAAAGTTATTTCTTCAATTCTTCATAAAAATATTTAATCAAATATTATTTATTTTAATCAAGAAAAGAAAAAGATTAAAACAAAAACTTTTTCTTTTCTTTTAAATATATTTAAGTCAATGACGTGTAGTTTGTTTGTTTTTCTTTTGTACTAGAATTTTTATCATATCTTATTTGATAGTGAGTTTCTTTGTTAAAATAAAACAAAAATAAAACGATGATAGTGAATGTGTTTAGAAGAGAGAAATTCGATTCTATATATTTCTTATCGATCAGTTGATTTATTATAAAATACATTTGCAACTATTTCAAACAATCAAAAAATCATTCTCAATTAAAACCGATGTTTATAAAACATACGCAAAATGAATGTCTTACCCAATAATCATCATCAATTCTGAAATTACTAACTATAGAAGAAGAAAAAAAACTTATAATGAAAAATATTAACGATCCATAAAGGTATACTTGGTAAATTGTTGTCGGTCACAGTTTTACTCGAATCCAAAACTTTTCGAAAGAGGTCGTTCCTATCAATATTTGTGCTCAAAAAAAAAGTACTATGAACAAGTGATAGCCATAGGAATGCATCAATAAGACGAAACAAGATCAACTTAGTTCAAAAATGAATACAATTTAATATTAAAGTTTACGACTCTCCAAAAAATTGATTTTTCTAAAATAGGCATGTTCTTTTGAATATAAATATATAGATATGATTTCTAAGGTATCTAGTGTTGAAAATTCATTAAAATGATTTCCAATTTTAAAAGATTTGTCGAAAATACATGATGAATTTCTAAAACTCTTCAATGGAAAGGCTAATACCTAAATACATAACAAAAATTATAATCGTAATAGCAGCCATCGTCCTTTATCATAGTCTAATATATAGCTTGAAGGCTACTTGATAAGAATCTAGACGAACTTTTAATTGATACGTAATATACGAGGTTGATCATTCTGACTGTCTACAACCACACTTTAAACCATATAATGTCTTCTACAAACATCACATCTAGTGTAAGTTCCGAAAAAACACTAGTACGCGTGACCACATCCACACCTTTCTATGTCATTCAAACCGTAGTTCTTCTGCGTAATTTTTTTTGTATCACATTGCACGAATATTTTTTAACTGTTACAAAATTGTTAGATTCGAATCGAAATTGCGTTCTCTTCTAAATGACAGTGAGCTGAAGTCGTCGGTACCAGTCATATCAGCTAAATTCACTTAGTTTTTCGAGTTTAATTTTTTTATTAAAGATAGTACCACAAAAATAGCTATTCATTAGATGACTTAATCGATAGAAAAATTAGTGGCGTCATATCTATCTGACATAAATTATTGTGATGCATCAATATAAAAAATGAGAAAATCGTTCAAACTGTCAGTTTTGGTGAAAAATTAACGGCATGGGCTATATCTCCAATATCTTTTATGTTAACACTTGATTGAGTTTCCGAAAAAGACTTTAAAAAAAAATGTCTAATCCTTTAAACAACCTAAAAGAGTATGATTACCGTCCTAAGCGATTGCTGTTTTGGGTCGCTTTAGTCAAAAACCGACGCACTGCATTAGAATCGTACTGTCGTATTTATACCGACTTCTATGTCGCATACGGCTTATTTTCATTACTCGGATTGCACGCTGGATAACATCCTGCTTATACTTTCTATTATTATACGAAACATTTCATTACATAAATAGCATTTCTGCATAGGGGTTAATCATCACAATTTATATACAAAGTACATATATGAAAAAGAAGAACATAGATGCAATCATCATGTCTTTTATGCGTGAAAGTACCATCAAAAATTGTTTTAGATAAAGTGATTCACTAATTAAAAAAAACCTATTATTTCAAGGACGTATTTTTTAACAAGTAACTTACTACATTCATTTGTCACCATTTTTAAACGTTTACGAACTGTTGTTTCAATATGCGGTGAGCAAACATCATTGAAACTTAGATCAACTTTCTACTAGATATTTAGAACACACAAGAATGAGTTCTATCCTCTATGGAACTTGTCTATGTAAAAAAAATAACGAATGAGGAATATGTAAAGACGTGCACATGTACTCGACAACTCAATATTAATATTATGTCAATCATTGTGTGGCTTCTATGAAACATTAAAGATAGATTCAACTAGAAATGGTAAATAAGTTCGTTAAGATTTATCTATTAAACATTATGAGAAAATATTTTATGATGTTTATGAAATATTTTCTTGTGAAAATGGGGTAAAACCAACGGTCGGAACAATGGTCGTTTCCGCTGGAATGTAAACGATCATCGGAACGGAAGCTGTTTTTTACCGTAGTCGAGCCGTTTTTGGGTCGTTCTATTCAACCTAGATAATTATATTTGATGCTTATGTTAGAAAGTTCTTCATGTATACAAAAAAATGTTTGCATGTTTTTCTCGAAATTAGTTTTTGTTCAAATTATTGAGTTCTGAACAAATCTTTTTTTGATAATGTTTGTTCTAGTGAACTGCGTTAGTATTTTTTTTTATTCGATAGATCGATGCATTTTTGTTTCGGATGAACAAAATGGATTTTTTATTCGACTGTCATTATTAAAGTAATCATAGATTTTCTAGAAAATATTTCCTAATATTTTTCGAGTTTTAAGATTTTGAGAACGTCGAAAATGAAATAAAATAAAAGTTATAAAAATCTTTTCCTTCATTCGAAGCGTTAAGAGATTCTCTTTTAAACGGGAGTAATCCAAGTACTGTAGCTTGAAGTGTCTTCAAAAAAAAAAATTTACATGCATGAGAGCCCTATTTTGCACTATAGCCTCGGGAAATTTTCTGAACGATAAGATTTAGAGCCGTAAAATTTTTTTCTATTGGTGTGCTTTTGGATGAGAGGCGCTCAGTATTGTGTAATTAATAACCTTCATTTTTTTCGAAGAGTACTTATAGAAAAAAAAAAGAATTGTATAGCATACGTAATGAACGGGAAAATATTTCATTTGAAGAACCAAAGAGAATGTCAGGAACGGATGTGAAAGATATTCTGAAATCAATTATGACGAAAATTAAAATAAAAACATTAAAAGTTATTTTATATGATATTTTCTTATCGTGTGGATGTCTAATGAAAGATTTATTCGGTACTCTTAACATTGAAGTGATCGTAACTAAGATGGTGTTTTTCTTTTTATACTTTCGAAATTACCGGACTAGACTTGTTTAATTTTTCATTCAAATAATACTGTTAGATTGTAAATATCTTTTATTAAATATCATCTAAGAGACGTTCAAAATAGATTAGAGCAAAACTTTCATATTACTGATTCGTGAACAAAACACAAGGTAAATTCTTTCAACAAGTTCAATTGTAATTTCCATTGAGGATAACATACCTGAGCACAAGACATGCTTTTATTTCAATTGAATCAAATTATAATAATTTTATTCAGCTACAGGAAAAGAACTTTTAGCAACGTACTTACCATTATCCGAATATTCACAAACAATACAAAATTTCAAAGACTATTTCGGATATCTTTAGTAAAAATCTATTATATCTTTATCAATCTTTCTTTTAAGTAAAGTCTTCTTCTCTATTGATATTTTCTATTTATTCGCCGTTCTTATATATACATATTTGTTTACTATGATTAAGTGTCTTTACTTTAGGCAAAAATTATCAGAAGCAGAAAGTATAAATATATTTGCTTCCAAAGAAAAAAACTTTATCAATTAATGAACAAAAAGATATCTTGTATACATTATATAAACTATTAAAATTAAAGAATCGATATCAACATAAAGAAAAATGAATTATAATTTGAATACCTAATAACTTAAAAGCTGTTGTGGCCTTGACATTTTAATAAATATAAGTGTTTCCTAGATGTCTAACAATATCATCGAGATCACGCAAATGTAACAACAAGTCTTTTGTTATTTCAGTCAATTTTCATGCATTTCTATTGATTTAACATCCATTACTCATAGCTTCCAGCGACAGAAATTTTAGGAAAAACATTTCAACAATAGAAAATGTCTGTTTCTAAATTGAGGCAGTTTTCTTTTTCTAGAACAGTTCATATCAATTAATAAAATAGACATATAAATACGAAAAAACTTTATCAAATATTCTTTGTGTTTTTTCAGATCTAAGATGAAACAATGAAATTTAATTAAGTTCATATATATTTTTTTCCTACAGAAAAAAAATGCTTTCTTTTTAATTACAATTATAGTGAAATTAAAATGCCAAAGAGTTTTATTTTTATCGAATCTAAATTAATATAAATTTGATTATTGAATATTTTCTTTTTAAAGTTCGAAATTCTAATTACAAATAATTGAATAATATTAAATTATCACACATCATTATTTGAATATTTTGAATTGTCATGTTCTAATTCAGATGTTATTCCTTGATGATGTGTTGAAGATACAGAAACACCATAAAATCGTCGAACATAAATAATTGTGCATAATATAATTAATAAAAGAAAACCAAGACAAATACCAGCTCCTAGATAATAATATGTACGTGGTTCTTCTGTACCTTTAGATGTTGTTGCAAAATAAAATAAAACAGCTGTAAGAATAACGAATATAAATGCAAAGAAAAGACATGCATGAATACATCGTTCTTGATCAGTCAAATTTGATTGACTTAGTGTATCACGACGTCGAAAAAAAAGCATAATGATCAAAATATCTAAGAAAAAAAGGAAAGATCTAAATAGATGACATATATACATATATATATATGTAAAACATACATCTGTTATTGTGATAAATATGAATGTCGAAAATACTTACGATCTCATTCAAAGTCGATCAATGTCAATATAATTGTCATACATTACTCTATCAATAATGGTTTTGCACATGTGGTTCTTTTTTCTAATCTGAAAGAGAAGAGGTAAGATTTATCTATCACATATTATTAGTTGATGCAACGATATTGATACTCAACGTTATGTTGTTGTTACAGATTTTTTTTTTTTCGTGTCAATCAAGAAATAAATAAAAAAAGCAGAAAAGAAAGGATCACTTAGAAGGAAAAAAATTAACGGAATCAATAAGAAACGCATCTTCAAAAATTTTTTCTTTAGTTGCATTAGAACGATCGATCTAAGCTAATATTAACAATGAATTTTTATATAATACGTCTTAATCAATTTGATTTTATTGACTATTATCATCTATCTTTTTTTTTCACCCTGATAATATCTTCTACGACTTACCTATTTAGTTATAGATTTAATAAAAAAATCACATTATATAACAGAAATAAAATTAACATTGCACATATATTTTTTATTTTGATCGTTAAATATGTTTTTGAAAAAAAAAGCAATTATTTATTGCACACAAATAAACACACTATTTTCAGTCAATCTGAAGAGAAAATAATGCCTTCTTTTCTTATTGAAGGGTATAAAATAAGTTTTGTTTCCCTTAAGTAATATTCTTTTTTTTTCACATGACTTCCCACTAATAGAGGCTATTATTCACAGTACATTCGTTAGATGTCTAAAACTATTCTATCGTAGAATTTCCATATTGTATCTATAGTGTCATTGCTATGAAGATACAAATAATGTGAAAAAAAAAGTCATAAAAAATTTTCATATTATTTTTAGCAATATTTCTGATGTTTTATTAGTAACATTACATAAAAATATATGATTTGAAAGCAACTTTATAAATAGAATTTCTTTTATATAGAAAAAAAATATCTTCTATGAATGTTTATATATCTGCTCGTCATCTTGATCTATTAATTACTATAATTGATAGAAATTTTTTTTTGCTTATCTTATGAAGTATTTAATAACTAGGCTATTATTATATATTAATAGACCTAATTTGGGACATTTCAAAGCTCTTACTAAGTTAGTTTCATTGAGTCAAAAAAAAAGAAAAAAAACAAGAATTGTAAGTTCATATAGAAAAACGACAATTATCCACCGACTCACTTTAGCTAGTATAAGAGTCACTGTGCTTTTCATATAATTCATTCGTATGATTTGTTGTTTCTATATGTGACTGTCAGTAGAGAAAAAAAAAACGGATCGTTCAATTCTTTTTTTTTTCTATTCATACCGGTGTAGACAAATGATAGAAACGCAAGAATGATGTGCAAAAAAAGTAACAATTACTCTGTAAAGATTGAATGCTCGTACGATAACAATATTTATATTTTTTAAATATTTTGTAGATTCAAAAACTTGTTGAAGAGCTTTTATAATTTTAATGTTACTTATATTTCTATAATGACAATATGTAGAAAACTAAAATTTTAGTATATAATAATTCTAGATGTCTAATTCATATATTGTGAATAATAGATCCCACTAGTATATATTCATATGAAAAAAAGGAATATTCCTTGAGGGAATCAAAACTTATTTTACACCCTTTATTCTTTGCCGTCAGCGATAGTTAATTTTCTTTTCAGTTAGAGTTCTAGTCATCATTAGTTACTTCTTCTTCGTCGTCTCCGATTCTTTTTTTTTCTTCTTCTTATCGTTGTTTTTTCTTTTGCCCAAGTTTTCCGTCGTCATGAATGATCAAAAACATACACACACTTACACGTTAACGAAGTATATTTCTTTTACATATTCACACATAAGTATACACAGACCTACAGAACAGTAAACTATGTCGATCAATCATATATCATAGAATAAGTAGGCGTATGGTGAAAAATTACATAAAAAGAAAAAAAAAGAAAAGGAAGAATAATGAACAAATTTGACTAATCTGATTTTCTTCAGTTCATATCATTATTATTGACTCAAGAGATTTTTTTTGACATATACATGTATGTCTTGCTAAATGTTGTTTTATTAGTTCTCTACAACAAAAACAATTGACAACGATAGATAGGAAAAAAACAACATAATAGATGTCTGTAAAAAAAAACATGGAAATAAGAAAATAACTGTTGTTAAAAAATTATTGTCGAGTATTCTAAGAGTATTATTGACGATAATAAAAAATATACTCAAAATACGTTTTTTATTTTATTCTTGATCGAGAATTCATTAGTATCGTTTATAGTACTTATTTTACAAATTTTTTCAACCAAAAGAAAAATGATTTTTGAATTATTTTAAAAAATATTTTCATCTGACACACATATAAACAGATAATTCAAAGTTTGAAAAAAAAACAAGAGTTTATATAATTGCAAACTATATTTGTTCGTCGTGTCTAAATTAAATTCTTCATTATTTGTATTAATTAAATGAGTTTTATTATGATAATCAATAAGTACAAGTGTTATTGTTGGTATTAATTGTTCATTTGTTGAATATGTTACTTCAATACGTGTTATTGATGTATTTGGTATTAGTTCTTGTATCGTATCTAAATATTGTCCTATATCTGTTTGTAAAGCATATGCAAAATATTTAATTAATTCACGTATAATACATCCATGACTAACAATAAATACATCAAGATCAGAAAAATGATTTCCATATGGAAAATATTTCAAACCTTTGATTACAATTCGCTGTTTTTCAATATTATCATCATGTGATAAAATAGATGATGATGGAAGATTAAATGTTGAATCGATTGATGATCAACATGATCTTGTGAAAATAATCTGGTTTTTTAAATGATTATGAATATTTTCTATTGATATTGAACGTTTTTTATTAGAATTTTTTACTATGTGTGGATTAAGAAATAAATTTTCTTTTAAAACATTATATGTTAAACGTTATGATATATTTTGTTTGGTTAATAAAGTAAATGTACAAAATTTAATAAAAATTTCTTGACATAATTTTTGAAAAATTTTTATAACATGTTCACGTACTTGAGTATTTGTTTCAGCACCCGAAGGTGTGAAATTAATATAAGGAACACCATTCTCTTTTGTTAATTCACGTAACCATTGACATCTTTGCCCTTGTGCATTACCAAATCTCTAATTAATTCAAGAAAAACAAATGAATTATATAAATTCAACTAAAAAAATGATTTACTCGTTCATATAATAAACTATCAAATTTAATTTCACATGATAATACACGAATTAATCGATGAATTTCATGTGCTGTCTAAAAGATCTAAACATTTTATCTATGATTATCTATTAAATAGAATATTAGATTTTAATAATAATAAAAAAAACATACTTCTGAAGATCGTTTTAGATCATTTGAATAAATATGTGGAAAATGATGATATTGTAAATATTGACCACGTGCTTGCGATTGTCGATAACGAATATTAGATAATTATGTATCAAGTAGACCTTGAATAATGCCTACAGCATTTGCATGTGTTTCTGCACTAATAAAAAAAAAGAAATTCATCGTATAGAAAACGAAAAATCAATAATTTATAGATATCTACTGTCGAACAAGTGTTAAATTAAAATGAACATGAACAATTTTTCGAATATTTGAGAAAACTTATCTATAGATGAAATAATTTAATAGATAGAATTACATATAATTGTTACTGAGCTCATTGTAAAAATGTTTTTTTTGTTTGCTTGTACCCACGAGATATAGATTGTCCTTGGTACTTATTAACTGATCGGAAAACGAGCTTTTGCTTTTGACTGTTATCTATTATAAAATATGCACGTGCAGATGAGAAGGTCATTGGGCGTGTCATTTATGATTAGATATATATTTATTTCTTGTATCCTTCTTTTCTATTTGTCGTAAATATAACGCATGCTTCTCAGTCAAAACATACTATACATATATAAGTGGAAAGAAGAAAACATTGAGAACGTTAAGGCCAAGAATAAACGATCGTAATTAAATGATTATTTTATATGATCATATGGATTGCACGATGATTTCATCGTTCGTTCTCTAGTCGAATATTTTTATGTATTTAGAAATATGCAAATAATCTATAGAACAAATAGAGTACATGAGAAAAGGGTCAAGAGTACATCCCTACAAAAACTTACTGACGTGCAAAACAGGTATCTTTGCCTATGAGATATGTAAAGAGATGATAAGAAAAGAATATAAATATGCAATGTATTTTTGTAATTTTTTTTTAATCAATAAGAGTTTTATGATTACTTGGCATTATTTTTGTTTTCTTTTTAAAAGAAAAAAAGAACTTTGTAAAGTATATCTACACCTCAATTGACAGAGTACAGCAATCACAAGAACAAACTAAAATCATTTTGCTGTTTAACATATCTTATTTGAAATTTCATATATCACATAGAAGAAAATAACTTAAATTCTTTCAACGAATAAATAGATATTCTTTTCTTCCTTTGATTCAATAATGATTTTCTATTTATATAATTTTTCTTCAATCAAGATGATAGAACAAAAGAAAAAAGAAATTATTACAAGCTAATTTAATATGTCTGCATTTTTCGATTATCAGCAGATTCTTTAATATATATTACATAAAAATATGTTCCTAAATTAAATTAAATCATATAATTTTCTTACACTATTTTTTTGTAAATTATTTGTTTCAAATCTTGGTAATTCAATCATAATTAATCTATAACATAAGATCAAATCAAGTCATAGGAAGAAAAATATTTGTATTCAATTCTGTTTGAGATTTCTATCACTATAATATATCTTCATAGATTCATACATTAATCATTGTATGATAATTAGCAGATAATTTAATTATTTATTCAAATTTTTCTTCAAAAATAAGTATATAAGAAAACAAAAAGAGTCGAAATAGTATTGAATATTTTACATATTTTCTCACCTATCTTATGCTTGGTGAAATATGCATATCGATTATTAATTAATCATTCAATTACACGTTTGTATTATTTAATTTCAGCTATAATTTTGTGTCAGTAAATCTTTTCATAATATTGAAAATATTTTCAAATTCTCACTTTTAAAAAGTACTAGTTATTAAGTCAATGATCATCTTTAAATAAATAACAATTGGTATAAAACATGCATCATTTGTAGAGTGCTACTGTTGACATTTTGAAAAGTAACGTATGATATGGGAATATATTCATTTAACTGTTTCAGAAAAAAAGAAATATTCAGATGCAAAAAAAATGACATCAAGATTCTTTATTATATAATATCTATTTAATTGTTTAAAGCTGTTAGCGCAATTCATACGAGATTAAAATGTGAAACACAATGTTGTTAATTATATGGAAATTGTTTTATTCTATCTATTTTGGGACATATTTCTTCATTATCTTTTACTTAATCCTCTGGAACTGCAATAAGAAAATAGTTAATGAGATCTTAGTAATATACAGCCTTTGGACACCATCTGTCACCGTGTGTGGGCGGGTGTGCAAATTTCTACTCTATATACTTCCATACTCCGTTTAGATTGTGTTACTCAACATATATATATATCTAAATAAGTTTTACTTTGGAATATTTCATTTTTGTTAAACGTATTTATGGTAACAACAAAAAATCAATGACTAAGTTTTTGCGGTTGCATGACACTGACTCAGTCATTCTTGCACAAGTTTTGTTTTTCTTTCGTCAATATTGATAAAAAAAAATGACACACTCACTTTAAATACATATTATCAATTTTATAAAATAAAAATAAAAGTTATATTAGAGTATTGCTTAGTTTTGTTAATTTTTTTTTAGTACAATGACTGAAGCTCAAGATATTAATATTAAACTATTCTCATTTGGCCATTCTTTTGGTGTTCCAAAAACAGTTGATTTATTATATTCTGTACGTCATTTTCCAGTTCCTAATGTAGATAATTATCAACAATATGATGGACGACATAAACGAATACAAAATGAATTGTTAAATTTAGTACAATATGAAGATATAATTAAAACAATCATTGAACAATTGATGAATTTTATTCATGAACATAAAAAAAATTCTATAACATTGGCAATTGGATGTGAACAAGGACGACATCGATCGGTAGCTATAATCGAACGACTTGCTGATTTATTGGGAACTACTTATAATGTAGAAGTCAAACATCGAGATTTACAAAGAACAGGATATGATAAAAAGAAACAATGAGAAAGAACAACAAATAGAGACAGAAAATATAATAATTATGATGAAGATAACTAACATGTTAGTTTTTTTCATCAATGTAAAATCATCATTTGGCTAACTAACTTCAAATTTATCTTATTTTCTATGGTACAATCTCTTACTTATGTTTGTTTTTGAACTGTTATTAGTCCAAGATTTTCTTTTTCAACAACTATTTCAATGAACATTCGATTTCATTATGTTTAATACTCATGCGATTGTTGAACCTTTTCTATAGTGAAAATTAAAGGATATATAAATCCTTGGATTTCATCGGGATCATGTCATTCAATATTCTAAGCTATCCATACTGATCTATGAAGATAAAATAACCTGAATGGTGTAGAACACCAATTCTTTAAAATATTATTATTCATATGTTACAATAAAAAACAGAATTTTTTTTTTTT